ACCCTCCTAATTTCTCGTAAGGAGCATCTTTGTCAGCTTTCACATTATCATTACTATTGACTCATCAACCCCCAACAACAGTATGTAATGAGACTCAAATTGTAATCTTCAACTTTCACTAAAAATAATGTTATTATCGTTAGCTTAACTTTAATTGGTTTTAAAGCTGTGCTTAATACAATTCTAGCATCTAATTTTAGGTTAATAGTGTTGCCAACATATAGTTTTATAAAGTTTTTTTTTATTTTTATTTTTTTGATAAAGGGAGATTTTGGAGGAAGGGGGAATACTACAACTATTTCTACAGGGATTTAAATTTTGGCATGAGTCAAGATATTTGTTACACATTGTCAACCCACCTAGGACTGCTCGTGCATTTTAGAAAGTTTTTTGAGAATAAGAATGCTAACAATTCTTTTGTCACTTACTCCTAAACACTCCTTTTATTGTTTAAACTATATAAAAAAAAGTATTATGTAGTTTAAAGTTTTGGCATGAATCAAGATATTTGTTACATATTGTCAACCCACTTGAGACTACTTATGCATCTTGTAAAGCTTTTTAAGAACAGGTATGCTAATAATTCTTTTGACACTTACTTCTAAACACTTTTTTCGTTGTTTAAACTATAAAAAATATATATATTATGAAGTTTAAACTATGAAACAATAATTGTTACGTGTGGGGCAAATTCTATGATATAATGAATTGTCTTCCCATTTAATAGTTATTATTTTGCAATTCAATATAGTTGAAATAGTAAAACAAAGCACTTTTATAACTAAATCTAACTTATTGGATTTAATTGATCTAGTTTACACCCTTTTGTAAACTCAAGTTAAACAAAAAAGATCCTGATCTAATCCTTTGCACTATCATGTATTGCTAAGTGTGTGGATTTACTTTATCATGGGATGAAAATTGTAAGAGACTAAACTCAATAGAAAAAACAGCATGATCCCCAATTTTAGTGACAAAAAAACCATATGAATGATAAGGTTAAATAACCGACAAACTCATACATAGAAACAGAAGTACTACTAGTATAGTTTAATAAAAAAGTAACAAAAAAGACTAATAACAGTCCATAAGCAAACAAAACAATGACCATTCAATAAACTAAACTCAAGTAATGCCATGAAAATAAGTAGTTTATATTGTAAAATAAGACAATTATTTTTTCCCTGGTCAGTTCTGGTATCTAGTTTTGGACCTAGGTCCTTAAATACTGCATGCCTATGGATGGTAGATTCATTAATCATACCTCTGGTGGGTTAATTGGTTGATTAGAATCATTGGTCAGCGGAGGGTGATTGTCTTTGCCTTTTTTACTTCAACAAAATCAAGAGGGGAACCACATTCATCAGTGTAGTCCTTCGTTCATCAAATTCAAAAGATAAAGGAAAATAATGAAATGTCAAACACCAATGCTACAAATGTTCCTTTCATGACAAACCACATGTACATTTATTTTCTAGTGTCAAAAAAAGGTGGAAAAATGTATATTTTAAACTTGGGATGTACTCCCATAGGGTCATTTCAATTTGTTTAGTGAAAAAGAAAATGAAAAGTGAATTGCTTGCAAGATGAAAAGGCTAAGTAATCATGTCTATGAAATGCAAAAGTCAAATTTTCTTTATACACATGGTCTTAAAAAGCATAAAGCTTGATAATAAAGACACAGGTTCATGATAATTCAACATAATAGCAAAGTAAGGAAAGATAATTAAAAAGCTAAATATCCCTAAACCTTGATATTAGCCCAGTAGCTGTAAGCTAAGAACTTTGGAGATCAAATTTTGGGTAAAAAAAAAAAAGAAAAAAGAAAAAAGAAAAAAACTTTATGCTTCAATTTCAAACCTTGAACATTTGATGGATCCCATGGAGATGTCAATCTCAATCAAGTTTTCTTCCTCATTCACTTCATTCATCTCTACCAAGAGCTCATCCAGGTCCTGCTGCCTGAAAATGGATTCTGGTAGGAAACTCGGCGGATTTTGCTTTGGTTCTTCACTCAAGTCATCAATGGAGTCAGTCCCTGGAATGGCAATTTCAATCAGACCATCTTCATCATCTACTGAGACCGAATCATCATTAGACATTTCTTGATTTTGATCCAGCATCCAGTTCAGCTCAAGATTTCCACTTGTTTCTGAATCATCACTGCTCTCAGAATCTGTTGGAATTTGTGTTGATTCCACATGATGTTCTTTAATGTTGTTGCCCTTGTCATCTCCCTTGGAAGCTTGATATTCTGGGACTGTTTCTGGAATTAATGGCTCTACTTTCTCTGCAACTTCATCTTCAAGCAGGTTTTGGGAGTCTGGGATTTCACTTAAATCCACCCTTTTCTTCTTCTTCTTTATGACTCTAAGTATGAAAATTGTGGATGAAATCAAGAATGGTACTGTGAAAAGTAGAGGAGAGAACTCAAAGCTAAGGAAACTAGTGAAGAGAATACAAGGGAGAAGGAATGCAGCCCAAAGTAATGGGGTTTTGAAGACTGGACTCTCAGTTGTTTTCACCATTTTAAGGGATGAAAAGGATGGAATCAGAGAAGCGATGTGGGAAAGGGATTGGAGCAAAGGGTAGATCTTTAAAAAAGATCAATAAGGAGCAGCAAAAAGCTTCTTTTGTGTCTTTGATGCTTTTTCTCAAACACAAGGAAGACACTACATATATAAAAGGAGAGATTTAAGAGTCAAAAGAGAAATCTAGAGCAAAAAAATTTCAAACCAACCCAGATTATGATGCTTAAATATGAAGTAGAAAAGGGTAGCAGTTTCTTAAATTTCTCTGTACCTGCTCCAAGCTGCCAAGGAAAGCTGTAGTTTCCCAGGAAAATCACAAAACCGGGCCTTGTGTTTTCTCTTGAACCAAACTACTTTGCTCTTGTCTGGACCTGATTCTCTTAAGAAAAGCAAAGACTGTAGTTTTGTTTTTCCCATTTTACTCAAAATGGCTTAGGAATTGCCAAAATTCCATGTGCAAGCACATACGTCACATTAAATACTCCAAAAACCAAAACCCCATCAAGGTAAACCCACTAAAAAGGAAAGGAATTCACTTCCTAAAAAACGGGTCAAGGGGCCAAATGTGACCAAAGAAACAACTTGGTAAGCAGGATCAAGGCAAACCAATTTCTGTAAATTGTCAGGTACCCAGTAATCAAAAAAGAACATTGGGGAGTAATGATGGCAGGTTTTTTTCCGCCCCATTTTCTTTTGTCTGCAATGAATCAAGTGAACAGAGAAGTAATGATATGTCACAACCAAATTTTAATGGAGGCCCATTTCATTGAAGAGATCATTTTGGCTTGTAATGCCAGGCACCCATTACTCCTCTGTTCTCTCACAGACAAACATGCAGTTGGTACCCTAAAATACAAGGAACCAGATTATATAATTTGACTTTAGTTTCTTGGTTTTTCTTTCCATTTAGGCATTACA